ATTTTTGGAAAAAGATTGTATGGTTAGTTGATAGTGAGATTTTGAATTTATATTGAAATTAAAATAATATTTAAAATAAAATAATTAAAGTTGATTTGATGTAAAAGTGTGAGAGAGATGATATGAAATGATGGTTAGTTAAAATGATGTAAGTGGATGAATATTGAATTAAAGTGGATGTGATGTGTAAGAATAATCGGATGATATTATTTAATTATATTAATAATATTAAGGATATTGGAGTTGAGTTAAAGTTGAGTTAGACTTTGAGTTGAATAAAATTTTGAATGAAATTTTTGTATACAAACATGTGTTATCGTGGGGCAGATATATTAGGCATCCACACTCATTATCATTCATTTAATTACAATTTACACTTTTTCTCGTTCACATCAGTTTCACATCACCTTTCTACTAACCACCTATCCATTTAAACACACATCTACGTTGGTTCATTCATTTAAATACAAAATATGGGATCCATTATCCACTAATTCGATACTATTTTTATATTCTATTCTTAATAAATTAAATATATTTTTTAATTAGAATACTTAATTTTAAATGCTGAATACAAATAATATTATTAGATTAAAATAATAAATTTATGGGAGTTTGTGAATTTTAAAAGAATGGAATTTCATCCGGATTGCTAGGATTATAACTTGAGAAATTTTAAAGATTTTCCCTATTATTCGGATTTTTTTTTTTTTGAATTGTGAAATTGTGGTGTATTTAAAGGCATAAAAAGAATGGGAGCATAAAAATAAAAATTATTGATACATATTAAAAAGTGTGATATAGATAAAATTTAAATTTATTTATATTTGGAAACGTGTTATAGATAACAATTGAATTAAATATAAAAAATAGGTTGAATAATAAATTAATTTAAAACAACAAAAATAAAAAAGCACCCATAACGTCGTTTAGTATGTTGAACGGACAAATGGGGCCCGCTATTAATGGATGCATTGCATTCATGTTAAACGGACCCCTCCCGTTTAAATGGCCTAATGAAATGACAAATGCGGGTAGAAACTTGAGATACGGAGGGTCCCTTCTAAACCGACCAATTCACAAAGGACAACATCAACAGCTGCACGGACGAGTATGGAGGGTCCCTCCAAAATCGCTGCAAATTCACCGCACAAATCGTCCAATCAGTGACCTCAGCCGTGGGGCCAGCCCGAATCGGAGTTCGGATCTCACCCACAATCAACCATCTCGACGCTTGGACTCTGACCCTTTTGCACTGGGCCCTGGCATTGATTGAGCGGCTCAACAAAATTCAAGCAGATTCCAGATTCGAAAACCATTGATAAATAACACTTATAAAGCAAATACAGCATAAAAATAAACTTGCCCAGTATTTTCCATGAAGTCCTTCACGACTGGCCTAGTCCAGACCCCAGTCGACCATACTATCATGCTGTGGGGCATAGAAATATTATGCCCATCTGATTTCTTCTTCATGTCAATCATTCGATCTGTAACATTTGGAGTGCAATCGACAAAAAAATCTGAGAAAGAACGAGGACTACAAATGGAGAAGAACGGGAAATTCTGCATGTGAAAAAATTGGGGAAGAATGTGATAGAAGAAGAAAAGAAGACGAGAGAGATTAAGAAAAACTTTAATGAGAGATAGATTAAGAAAAGATCGGATGAGAGAGATATTTGGCCAAATAATAAGGAAATTAAAATAACACGTGAAAAGACACATTAGGGAGTACTTAATGCGGTGGAAAATGGACGGGAGAAGGAGCATTTTTCGGATTAGGTACAATCAGTTTTTACGTAATCTATATATATATAATAAGAATTATCATTTTTTAAAAATAGAAAGTCAAATTTCAGTCAACATTAATTACCTACCATTCTTAGTAACTTTTTTTTCTTAATAATCATATTAACAATATATTAAAAGAGTGATTAACATGCTTTGTTATATAGATACGTGATTTTCACTTAAAATTGAAATGGTAACAGGCTGTGTTCATTAAAAATTGACAACATGTTAACAAGATTTTTCAATCTATGAGGCTTTCTTCATAAATTTTTCAACATGTAACAGCATGTTAACCATTTTTCAAAGCCTCTTAATACATTTCAAGTTTTAATAAGAATTACCATGTGAATATGACAACAATATTTATTTATTAATTCATTTCAATTTTTTAAAATTCCCCAAACTTCAAATAATCATATTAACAATACGTTTATATGACAACATGTTTAATGATTAATGAATATTTATATATCATTTTATTAATATTTATGTGAATAAAATAATATTTTATTATAACTTTTATTAATGTACAGTGAATATGGTTTTCAGAATCGAACCATCATCGAAACGATCAAGTTATTCTATTAAATCATTTGTAGTTTGTTCATATTTTAATTTATAAATATTTTAATATCAATATATATACATTATATATATATATATATATATATATATATCTAGAGTACTTTTTGTAATAAATTTTAATAAAATGTGTTACTTAAATATCTAAACAATTTATAAATTCAAATGTTAAAACTAATTGATAAACAATTTATAAATATCTATTTTATTTAAATATATAATTTTATTTAAAATAACTTTAAATGTAACAAAATTTATTTAGAAAACCGTAACGATCATACCAGTTCAACCGACTGATGTTGACGGATTCAATAGTAAATATTTGATTCAAGCGAACTACACTGCTTATAACCCGATTCTCGGTCCATCCGGTCGGACTGTGTCCAACCTGGTTTAATTTAAAAATAATGGGTAAATTATAATTAATGATATTATATATTTAATTTATAATATACTCGTAATATTATTTTCCCGTGCATCGCACGGGCCACGCACTAGTTACATCTGACACAAAAAGGTATTATAATCTCAAAATAAAAAAGTGTGGGACATTTTATGTCTTTTACTAAAAAAGATACTGTATATATATTTTCAATCTTGGCACCCTTCCCAAGACCAAGTTATCTGTTGAAACCAATATTCAACAATAAATTGTCGCGAGCCGAATGCAATCGGACGAGTCGTAATCTATGTAAACAAACACAAATTGTAGGGTGGATAAAGGGTAACATATTAAAATATAAGATGATATTTAACTACAAAGTAATTATATGATATATGCTAAAATAATAAAATATAAGATATTTAAGTACTATGTGTGATAGTGTCATTTTAAATACAAATAATAATATATTTTTTCAAAAAAATATATAAAATTTAAAACATACTTTTTTATTACTTTTTAAATTTATGTATATATTTTTTAACAATCACCTGTTTAATACACATGTATTGTACTATTACTTTTTAGATTTAAGTATCAATCACGAGCACCCGTGTAATATACGTGTATTGTATTAGTATTAAATAGATGGAGTGACTTGATCGTCTGAGGTTCTACGTAGAAAGCTCTCCTGAAACTTTTTCAAATACTCGGACGATAATGTCAAGTGATGATGTTCGAAGTTCAATAGAAAATCGATCACTTCAACCGGGTTTATTTGGTAGACTCCTATCTTAAACATCTTTGAGTTAATATTCCGAACACTACCCAGGATATCTAATGTCAAAATTGCCCATTCTCATTAAACGTAACAAACAAGGTTTTTATATGACGGCAATCTTTGAATGATAAGTGGAAAATGCCGAAATTGTTGATATTGGTAGATAGATAATAATAACTCACCAATTTGGTACAAGTACAACAACTACTACCTACCCTATTTATTAATCAATTCAGGCTTAACGTAAAACTGTTTCCCAGTAGAGAAAAACAGACACAGTGCTTTATGCCCATGATAGTTTGTAATTTTTGTTGTATTCCTTATAATTGAATTTAATCATATACTTGAACCAAAATGCCTAATGTAAAATATTTCATCAAGCATGGACAAAAAATAATTGTTTACTTTTTACAATTTTAAGGGATCTATCTATAGGTTTTTAATTTTTTTAATATGATTTTAAATTTATCAGGGGTTTTGAGTTTTTTAAACAACTTTAATTTTTTTTTAATATATTCATTTCTATTAGTTTTTTGGATATCACATTTTTTTATTTTGTTTTTTTGGGTAAATAGCGTTTTGGGGGTTGAGGATAACTCTAATTTATTATTTGATAAGAAACGAATTGAAATAATTTTTAAATCCAAAATGCTTATTTTGAAAATCTTTAATATAAGAGATTTTAAGAATATAAAATGTAATTTAACAATAATTATGTATCAAACATCTAATTATTTGCCAAACCATAATTTACATATGCAATGAGTTAGTTAGGTTTATTAATTTCGTGTATTATACACTAAGAGGTGTATTTATTCGTTTGAAAGTTTTAAGAATTTTTTAAGATTTTTGAAATCATGTGTATTTAGCTTAGAATTTTTAGGACTTTTAAAAGTTTCGAGTTATTCACTTAAGATTTTAAAAGAAAAAACGATATACGAAATTTCACTCACAATCTCACATTCGCAATTAAGCTTTTATAGACACTTCTAAATATGAAAATATTAAAAAGTTTTAAATATAAAAAATTCTCAAATATCACTCAAAATCCCAAACAAAATACACACCCATAAATGTCAAACAAGACCCTCATTTGAGCCAATGAACTGGTTAAATTTAGAGTGTGAATAGATATAGATTTGTGATTGGATATTTTAGTTTTGATTTTTTTTTTAATTTATTTATAGTTAATTTTTAAAAAAGTTGGTTGAATTACGTTTGAATTGAATTTAGAGTTTGTATTAAAATAATATTAAATAAAATAATTAAATTTAATTTGATATAAAAATAGAAAATGGGTGATTGAAAGTGATAAACAATTAAAAGTATGTTGAAATATAAAATGAATTAAAATTAATGCGATGTGTACAAATTATTAAATGCTATTATTTAATTATATTAATAATCTTAATGTTATTGGAATTAATTAAATTTGAGTTACATTTTGAATTTAAAAAAAATAAGTGGTGAAAAGTGATTGGCTTTTTATTGAATTTTTTTATTTCCAATCACATTAATTAAATCCGTTATCTTTATTTGCAATCACATTAATTCAATCCATTAAATCTCAAACAAGTCCGTATATTTCATTGTCAAACCAGACCTCCATGTTTCAGTGTTATGCAGTTCTATATTAAATTTTTAGTTTCAAATTCTTTATACATTTTTAATAAATTTTCAAATTATCTTTTTATAGATACCATAAAGGATGTGCCCAATAGATTTTCAACAAATTTTGAAGAAGATATTGAAAAATTTTCAATAGGATATTCATTGCCCAACATCAAAACCCAAAACCAGATCTGGAAGAAGATTAAAAAAAAAAATCCAAATGCCCGGCCCGAGCCCGACCCAGAAGCGCCCCGCCCTCCCCTGGAAAACCCGCTGCTCCATCTTCCTGCTCAACGCCATCACCGACTTCTCCAGCCGCCCCAACGGCACCGTCAACCGCAGCGCATTCCGGCTGATCGACTCCGCCGGCTTCAAGGTCCCCCCCAATCCCAAGCCCCGCCGCGGCGTCACCACCTCCGACGTTTCCGTGGACCCCTCCCGCAACCTCTGGTTCCGCCTCTTCACCCCCGCCGGCCCGCCCGAAAAATCCGGATCCGGATCCGGCCAGAACCGGCTACCCGTCGTCGTCTTCTTCCACGGCGGCGGATTCGTCTACCTGGCCCCCGATTTCAAGGGCTATGACCACGTCTGCCGCCGATTCGCGCGGGAGGTCCCCGCCGTAGTTGTCTCCGTCAACTACCGCCTGGCGCCGGAGCACCGGTTCCCGGCCCAGTACGATGACGGCTTCGACGTCCTGAGGTTCCTAGACGACCGGGCTGATGTCCTGCCGCCGATCGCTGAGGTGTCGCGTTGCTTCCTGGCGGGAGATAGTGCCGGTGGGAACCTAGCCCACCATGTGGCCGCACGCGCTTGCGGGTCGAGATTTAATCACCTCAAGGCAAGCCACTCTCGATTAGTTAATACTCCCTCCATTTTGAAATATAAGGCGTATAAAGATTTATCAAATTTTTTGAAATATAAGGCGCGCTCAAAAATCAAGACAAATTTTTGCGTTTTTTTCCAAATATACCCTCATTGTGTTGAAATTAAGGAAGTGTGGAGTGGTTGGGATTAGAGTAAATAAGGTTAATTTAGTCAATTTATTCATTAATTAATGTTTCCTTAATATTTGTGCAATAACCTTAAATGCCTTATATTTCAAAATGGAGGGAGTACTTAATACGATAATTAATTAAAATTACGCACCTGATTGGCGTTTGCCATGCATACAATTATAACTGACATCAATTAATTTAATTTGAGGGATTTTATTTCTATAATTTATAGTTAAGGACTAAAAACAAATATCATCCAAAGTGAGATATATATTTTATTGTGAGCTATAATCTATGTTGATAAATATATAATAACACAAATATTTGTACTGGACATCTTAACGGTTAAACGGATTGACTCGTCATACTCTATTATTTAATAAAATTTCATATTTATATTATCATATGTTAAACGGATTGACTCGTCATACTCCATGTTCCGGCCGACCTAGTCCTTGAACATTTTGTCCACCAACCGTTGGTAGGTCGCTTGACATTCTTGAGTTTAAAAGGCATTATTAAGTACCCTTGGATGTCACAAAACTCATCTTTTTTTTGTCCTCGACCTTCAGTGGTATTTGGTAGTAACCTTGAGAAACATTCATCATGCTGAGAAGCTCGCACTCAGCTATAGTGTCCACAAGCTAATCTATTATGGGCAGTAGGTAGTGGTCCTTAGGACAGGCCTTATTTAGGTCTCTGAAATCGATGTACATTCTCTCCACTTGCCTTCATCCTTCTTGACCATAATGGAGTTCAACAGCCACTCCGGGAATTGAATAGGTCGTATGTGACCTGCCTTTAACAGCTTCTCTACCTCAGCTTCGATCACTAGATCGAACTCTGCACCAAAATGTCTTCTTTTTTGCTTGACCGACCTCACGGCCGGGTCGATGTTTAATCCATGCTCTACCACCTCTAGGCTTATGCCAGTCACGTCACCTGCTGAGGATACAAAAATGTCGGCGTATTCCTTCAGTAATGTGATAAGGGCGGAACGAATATCTCTCCGAGGTGGCGACCTACCTTGGTTACCTTCTCAAGCTCCCCCTCTATTAGCTCGTCCTGGGAGGAGATCTCAAGCTTTTCCTGTCTCTTTTCCCTATTCGAGCTCTCGGGATGGTCCTGCTCCTGACCTCTCTTCTTTTCTTGGGCCTCCGAATTTCTTATATGACCTAGTAACATGACGTAGTGACGTCTTTTGACGAGATCTCAAGCAGGTCTTGCTTTCAACCTCTCTTATTTCTTTTGGGCCTATGAACTGTTTTAATATTCGAGCTTCTTCTGCCACCTCGCTGACCTTGCCTCCCACCGTAAATTTGACCTTCATGCAGTAGCTTGGAACTGCAGTCTGGAATGAATTGAGACTATGACGTTTAAGGACAATATTGTACGCCGAGCTTGTATCCGCGACCAAAAATCTAACCATTATAAACTTTTTTCAGGGGCGACCTTCTTAGCGCCACAGGTAGGCACACCTCACCTATTTGTGTAAACTAATTCAATCTTCACATCAAGGTCCATCTGTCTTAAACATTGCAGAAAGATTATATCGACTGAGCTACCGGTGTCAATAAACACCTGCTGCACATTGTAGCTAGCGATCTATGTCGTGATGACCAATGCATCGTTATGGTGGGTAGAGATGCCATGCACGTCTTCTATTCCGAACATAAGGGTAACCTCGGATTGTTGGACTTTGACCTCTGTGACCTCCCTAGCGATCTTCTTATCGCGATACGTTCTTTTTCTCTCATTGTTGGAGTCCCCATCAGTGGGACCTTTTGCTATCATCTAAATCACCCTTTCTTGACTAGTGTGTTGTCTGCTCGTCAGGACGTCTCCGCTTCTCCATGACCTCTCGGTCGTCCCTCTTCTTTTCGTCTTTTAATACAAATTCTTTGAAATATACATCTCAGATGAGTCGTCCGATATCATCCTTTAGTTCTCATTGGTCGAACGGTCATCTTTGTGGTATCTGAAATATGCATCATCTCGTGAGGGCATGTAACCTCTCCTCCTCGGAATGGGGTTAGGTCCGGGAGAGAATTTTCTAATCCCCCCACTTCTCAAGGACCTCAAAGACCTCCCTTTGAGGCACGTTCAGGGACACATAATTCCCATACTTGTTCTCTCTCCTGGAACTATCTCCCAACCTTGATTCTTTCTTTAGAGACCTCCTGTCACTTGAACAGGGTTTATTTTCCGCTCGCTTGACCTTGGTCTTATCATTCTGTAAGAAGTCAGTGTCAGCTTCCTCCATGTAGATATACTTGTTGGATCTTGCCAGGAGCTCGTCGAAAGACGTCACTAGTCTCTTTGCTAATGAGTCCTTGCATTTACCCAGTCGTAGACCTCGAGTTAGGCCCTCATGCCTTGATCTTTTCAGAGGCTGAGGGGACCTCCACGCGTTCCTCAGTATAGCGAGCTACGTACTCACGGAGGGTCTTACCTTCTCTTTGTTGCATGTTGATCAACACCAAGTATATTTTTTTCGTGCTTCCTTGCACTCAAGAACTGGTTTATGAAATGAGAACTGAGCCTCTCGAAGCTCAACCCGGACGGCAACTGGTGGAACCAATCATATGTCGACCCTTTCAATGTAGTGAGAAAGCACTATAACTAACGGCGTCACTGTACTTATGGATAACTGTTATGTTCTCGAATGACTTTAGATGCCTACCCGGGTCCGTTGAGCCATAGTAAAACAAGCTCAACCCACGAAAGTTGTTAGGTTCCAAAACTTCCTCTGCAAACAGGTGACCACGAACCTATGGTGCCGACCTGCTCTGATCTCATGCCTGTAATTCTTGTAATTGGACCGATAAGCGCTTGAGCCTGCATATCAAGCGGGCTACGACATGGTTGTTTGTGACGATAGTGATACTAACCTTGCTTCTCCTTCTTCTAGCCTCCTCTGAGGTTGTGGTTGTGGTATGATCAGATCTGGTTGATTAAATGCCCGAGCTCGGGCCATGGCCGCAGCTAGGATTCTATCCAACTCCGCCCTGGTGAGCTGGATAACTTGGTCTCCCCCGGGGACCTCCTGTCCCCTCGGATCCACAAGTTGGCCTTCTACTTTTTCCTGAGGTCGGTTAGCCCCCGGACCTTTCTGTTGGTGTTCTTCATTGTCCTAGGCCACTGTTTAGTCCAGAACTCCCTGGCCTCCCGTTTCTTGTTGGTTGATGAGTGGTCCCTGCCCCACTGTAGGTCTCCCTGACATACTCGACAGTGGGGTTGATGCTGTGTGAGGCGACGACAACGTCTCCTGTGGCGTGACAAGCGCGCCGACATACTGCGGCCAGCCCGGGGGATGACTTGTCCCAAACGCTCTCTTTGTCCACGCTTCATCCAACTCTTTGGACAAATTCTTCCTTTAGTTATCGCCTGTCATGATCTTCAAGCTTCTTCGGATTTATTGCGAGAAAAGTCGGTCAGTCCCTTATAGTCGATAAATGACTAGAGCTTTCCACAAACGATGCCAATTTGATACGCAAATTTTCTCGAACCGGTTGAACCGCGATCCCACGAACATGCACTAGCTCGAAGCTCCGATGACCTGCAATATGCTGAGAAGGGTCCCAACGGAAAAGCCTCCGACGCTCAAATTAGTGTTTGTACATGATGAAATAGAGTGTATGTATGTAAGTTTTCAGGCGTGTATGTGTGTTGTGTAAAAGTAAAGAGCCTGGTTGCCCTTATATATATAGGATAACATGATGACCAAGAGAGTTTTAGTTAGAAAATAGATCATTTCCGTCTCCACTTTCCTAATTTGCCACGTCTCTTGAATCTGGGAGTCCTTAGCAACATACATTTTCCATTCATGAAGGATTCTCTCCACTCTTACTGCACGACTCATAGGCCTTGAGATCACCAGCCTGACCTCCTTACCTACCTGCCATAAGTCTTACCAAGGTCGTAACCCCAACCTCGACCTCGGTGACCTATAGGCCATAAGGCCTCTCTTATATCCGAGCTCTTTAGGTCCTTCGACCTACGAGCTATCCATATTGGACCTACCTGTACGTGAGCTATCTAGGCGAGCTATCCGTAAAATCTTTTGGAATGAAATATATGTTGATCTAATGACAGCTCAGGTATTTATATTATACAAGTACAACTTAATCTAATTTAAGCATTGTGAATTGAATAACTAATGCACAATGCTTATAAATACAACTTAATCTAACTTAAGCACTGAAATGAATAATTAATGCACAATGATTAAATTAGATTAAGTTGTATTTATGATAATATATTGTTTTGCATGTCGAATTGTCCAAATTGGCAGTATACTAAGGATTAATTAGAATTTATCTCATTAATTAATTACATTTCACGAGGGTCTATAACCTACCTATTATAATTATAACCTAAAATTCCTTGAACCGGGTAAGGACATGACACTTCTTAAAGACTATCCACTGATTTTCATTTTGCTCATATCGTGATACGCTTATGATGAGAATTCAATGTTTGCTTCAGTTATTATTATTATTATTATTATTATTATTATTATTATTATTATTATTATTATTATTATTATTATTATTGCAGGTATTGGGAGTTGTAGCCATACAACCTTTTTTAGGAGGAGAAGCACGTACCAAGTCGGAGATGGAGTTGGATGGGATTGATCCTATTGTGTCGATGAGCAGAACTGATTGGGTGTGGAATGCGTTTATGGCGCCAGGGCCAGGAATCGACCGTGATCATGAGGCAATCAACATTAGCGGCCCTAAGGCTGTCGACATGTCCAAGCTCAACTTCCCTGCAACAATGGTTGTTGTGGCGGGGTTCGACTCCCTCAAGGACCGGCAGACCAACTACTATGAGTGGCTGAGAAAGTCGGGCAAGGAGGCCTACCTTGTCGAGTACCCCAACATGATTCATGCTTTCTACGTTTTTCCGGAGATTCCCGAGACAACCCACCTCATTTCCTCTACCAAACACTTTATCGACGACCAGTGTTCCAAGCTCGTCAACTAGTCTCCTCGATCGTCTTAGTTTTTACGTTTATATATATATATATATATATGATTGTTTGTATTGGGAATAAGCTCCCTTACCCACTCCATGAATAGTGACCTAATTAGCCACATTCGATAGTAATTAAAGTCGTAGAGCCATGTAGGGCGAGGTGAGGCTGGTGATTTTTCATCAACAACTCGTTATTTTCAAAATCTTGTTATTATGCTTTTGTCGACCAAATTATGTAAGAAATTTTATTTTCCTATGTATAATCTAAGTATGGGCAATATATGATATAAAATTATATTAGCTGACCCGATATTGATTTTTCTAGAATTAGAGCACGTTCTAAGATAATTGGTTGTTGAATTTATATTATGTGATTATAAATTTCATACAAATTATGTTTTCGTTGTATCTTGTGTTATCCAAGTCCTTAGGATTAGTTATTATGTGACCTAGAACTTTTGAATTTAAGGTCATGAATTTTACCATCCAACATGAATAATCAATAATTCTCTTCCAAAGTGACATTTCGTGAGCAGGTCGTTTGAGGGTGATGAGTGCATCAGACTTCAGTTAAAAAAATTTCTTCCACTAGGTAAAAGTGTTAGAAAATAAAAATTGAGGAAAGAATTTATAATTTGGTTATTGGTTGTAAGATGAAATGATAATTATCAAAGCTACAGTAATATAAGTATAATAAATTAGTGAGTCTTGAAAGTGTGTAATATTATTTTACTGGTTTCTATAATCATAAACTTAATTTATTATTATATTATAAATTATGTGTAAAACTAACTTTAATAAATACTAAATTAACTAAAATCTAATAACAATGCAAACTTATTAACATTAAGTGTAGAACTTTCAATTTATATTAATAATAAAAAAAATTATTTTTTATGTTAAAAATATTTAATAAAATATTTTTTTAATTTATATTTAAAAAATGTATATTTTTAAATCCGATTTATTGTGTTATTATTTTATATGACATTTAAAAATATATCTATAAACAAACCTACAGCTTATAACGATTCAAATTTTTCCAATTGAATGTAAAAAAAAATTAAAATCATATTAGCAGATTTACAAATAATATTTTTGTTAGATGATATACATAATTTTTTTAAATATAATTAAAACGATTATTTCTTTTGACAATTGAGGGAAAAAGATGGATATCATTTTATTATTTTAAATGTTATTAATCTATTAGTTGTTCATTATTTATTTTACATTTATGTTTGTGATTCACAGTAAAAATATAAATACTTTTATGTACCCATCTTTTATAATAATAATAAAAAAAATTCAAATACCCCTATAGTACATGAGTGTGGTACTAGTAAACAATATAAATAAAAAGAATGTTGTTTCATCCCATAATTATGTACTTTAATTTGTTAAACAAGTATGATCATATGAGAACTTTTGTAAAGCATCTGATTAACTTAATTATAAATAATTTAAAACTTAATACCTATTTACACGTGAAAATATATTAAATTAATTAATTTTTATAACTTTTAATTTAACATTCGTATTATATAAAAAATAAAGATAGTAATTATATCTTTATAAGAAAGACTTGGTGGCATGTATTATTAATTAAAAATAATAATGTAATCTTTCAAAAACTATTTGAAAATTTATAATAAATCTCTATTTATTAATAAATTTATTTATTAAAAATAATTAAATATTTAAATAATGTAATTGGGAAAAAAGTATTTAATATTTAAATAAAAAAAGTTGTGTTTGTTTATTATATTATCTCACATATATTTTTTTAATTGCACATATTAAACGCGGAATTATTGCAACCACAAACATAGTTCTGGCCAATATAACATATAAAATATTAAAAAGTGGACCCACTTTTCTTTTCTACTGCGTGTGTTACATAAAAAAGAAAGAGAAAATCCCCGTCTCTGCCTGCATCCATCTCTCTTCCATCTCTCTGAGTCAATAAGCTTTCGATCCATAGCCTTTATGGATTTCAGATTCAATTCTCCTTTAGCTTCCTCCTCGTTCGCCGCCGTAGTCTGTAACCTCGCTATCGCAACTGTTGCTTCTCCGTCGCCATCTCAGCCGTCCAAATCCGATCTTCCCCTCGCGCTCTGGTTGCGGCACTCGCTTTTTACCGTTCCCTGATAGGTAATCTGCTTCAGTTGTTTCCAAAAGTGATTGACTTTTTTCATTCGTTCTGTCTTGGAAAATTTATTTGTTCTCCAAGTTTTCTGCATAGGGGACTCATCAAATAACCTAATTTTGGTTTTCACCTCTGTTTTTTACCTGGGATCTTTGAACTTATATAACGAGTAGCTATCCTTCAGCGGATAGTAATTTATTCAGGTGCGCACTGTATGTATGTATGCATTGAACTAGTAATAAGATGAGCGCGTCTACTAGTGAAAGAAATCCCGTGCGTGGCAGTGCTAAAGCTAAATGCACTTCAGGTTGGGCGGCTTTTGACCTTAAGCATAGACAGAAATCGCAAATCATCGAACTCAATAAGGTTTCTGAGGGTTACCCCTTGTTATCTGGCCCCACTTTCCCCAATAACCTTTCCAACAAACATGCTTCTCTATTAGAGAAGCCCTTTTCGTCTGTAGTTGCAACCCCTATAAATTTTCCTTCCTTAGTTGACACCACTGATGGTAACAAGAAAGGCCGAGCTCCAGTTGGTAATGATTGTCTTCGTAGTGCTCAGAATATTGAGACTGATAATGAGTTCATTGAGGTTTATCAGAAGCTTAAGTGTCTTCATCCTTGGGCGGATGAAAGCTTGATTCGGGATGTCCTAGCCGGCGTGAGCAATGATGTTGATAGTGCTTTATCTTTACTGGGAGATATGCTTATCTCTGAGAATAAAGTTGCCGAGAGCAAGAAAGTCGAGCCTAGTGGAAATGCTGTTCCATCCTTTGACGTTGAAGGTGGTTCTGTGGGAGAGAATAAAGATGTAAGCTTTACCAGCAATGATTCTTTTAGTAAGGAATTCAAGGATGATTTGATTAGTAAGGAATTCAAGGATGACTTAACTTCAGCACAATTACTGGATGCTATCAAGTCCTTACCCATTGAACCAGAGGCTGAGTGGGAAGAGGATGATGTTTACTTAATCCACCGAAAAGATGCTATAAGTATGACCAGGTATGCTTGATAATTCTTCATGTATCTATTTAATATTATGAAAATTGTTAAAGAATATTGATCGACGACCTACATCCAATGGAACCACATTGTTGAAACTGGAGCTAAATTTTGTGTTACTATTTATGATATTTATCCTGGAATTCCACAAGAGTGGTTTATCTTATCTTTTTTCTCATTTACGTGGGGAGCACAAGCGGTAGGTGGTGAGGGAAGGTGATGGTAGTAGATAACTGAGCGACTGCAAATGAATTGTGTAATCCCATTTTAATTTATTAGTAGATCCTCGTTATATTAACGATAATACAAATTCCACTTGGATGCACATTTAAAGGCTGAAGAGAGTGTGCGCTAACTGATTTCTCATTTTATAGCCTTTTGATGAATCGACGTAAATTGTTACTTGTCTAGTGTAATGGAGTTTACTAAGAAATACAAATGATGAGTGCATATGATATAATGGAAGAAAATATAATTTCAGAGGAACTGAAAATTAGTTAGCACACATTTATTAATGAAAGACCAACATATGAAACAGTGATTTCTCATAACTCAGAGAGAATGGATCACACAGGAGAAATGCTTGAATAAATCGGCTTAGAAGTAAAATATTGTAAACAGATGAGAATAAGTGTTGTATATTGCAGGCAAACTATCATCACCCTTTAACCATTTTTGTATCCCTAAAACCTTTGTTGTTTCTTCTTTGATCAGATTGGCATCGCGCCATTCTAAGGCCGCAAATGATGCATACTTAAGAGGTGATCATAAAGCGGCCATTCAGTTCTCACTCAAAGCACGGGAAGAATGGACTGCTGCTCAGAAGCTGAATTCCAAGGCAGCCAAGGAAATTCTGAATGTGAGGAACTGTGAAAATGATCTATGGACATTGGACTTGCATGGTCTACATGCAGCAGAAGCAGTTGAAGCATTGCGTGAACGTTTACAAATAGTTGAACCTTTATTTTCACCAAATTGCTTGGCCACACTTGATGCGGTCCAGAAGGAGTCATGCATGTCTCTTGCTGCATCTATGTCGTCCGCAGCTCATGTTAAGATGGAAAAGTTTGGGAGACTGTTCCTTCCATCCAGGCAGAGGCAAAACTTATTACAAGTTATAACAGGTATGACATGTCCTCCCGTGAAAGAGTGATATGAACAATATGTTGTACAAATGTATTTGCTAGTTAATATTTGCAAGTGAAATCAGTCAACTTGTGCTTCGTGTCTGTACCAATTCTTTTGTCTTGATACAAGAGTGAAGAAAAGCATTCACCATGTATGATATTCGCTCTGTTTCTTAGATGAAATATTCCACACTAAGGCACATAAAGTGAAGTTTCTAGAAGGGAAAGGATCGTAGCACGTGAGATATTTGCAGCCAATTTCTGCCACTACTCAAAGCCTTTTGAAGTAAATTCCAAATTTTGAAGATCGTACCTTTTCCATGGTTAATACTCTGATGTCTGATGGGTTAATTGACATAACATGTTACAGGAACAATCTCAAACACTTGGATCTAGCTTGACATACTAGTAGGATAAAAAGGAAGTGCTTCAGCACCCCACCTGGCCGTATTAAAATATATCATTTAGATAACATTTTACAGCTCTATTAGGTCTGGTGTTGCTGTCCCTGTGTAATTGAGTTCAGGATTGCAGTTTACTCAAATATTAGTGGTTTGGCTTATTTTTTACTCTTCAACAATCCACTTGTCAATTGGCACATGCACAGCTTTTGGTCCCAAGTATTGCTTGTTAAGCTTCTGAGGGGTCATTGAACATTTTCAGAGAATGAAAGCTTTTGCTGATGACATTTTCTGTTTATAGTTTCTCTTGAAAAAGTGCACAGAGAATGGATGATGATTTCAGAAGTTCATTCGGAATAGATGAATTAAATTGAAAAATTGTTTCATACCATTCTCATTTCTGCCTAAAAACATTGCATCATGCACCACCACATCTCACCTTCACAATCTTGGAAATTCCTTTTGGAGAACTTGACATCTAGGTCTTATATAAATCGTACGCACTCTTCTACAGCGTACAGAAAATTCAGAATAAAAACTGATTCAGTGGTTCACTAAGTCTTTGCTGTGCGCTTAACTTAAAAGTAGGTGGGAATTGGGACTCTGAAGACGTAAACTGCCTAAACCGTCGGTGTTGGATTGATATAACATGTGGTTCGTTTTTTACTTCATTAAATAATGTCAATACCAGACTCTCTTAGGAAAAAGGCCCACCTATCGTACTGTAGACGCACTATAATGAAACATGTAACTCTTGATATCTAGTATATGGAATGCATCTTCTTTGTTGTCATTTGACCATCAATTTGCTTATCAAAATCATGTTCAAAGTAGTATAAGTTGTTTTCTTGTATCTTATCTATCTTACACTGTCCTCAAGGTGCGGTGTACATTTTTAGTTTTTAGTGAATTGGACACGTGGCTCGCCTCATGTTGTTCTGCTTTAAGTCGTAAAATGTCTACAAAACTTGTCATCTCCTGTATGGATTCTTCTGCAACCATTTGTTTTGTTATGATTTATGACAAGTTTTCTATTGCAATTTCATTTATATTAAGAAAAATGTGCTTAGCTTACATGCATTTATTCATAAATCTATGTTTCGGCAGGAAGGGGCAATCATAGCCGCGGAGCAGCTGCACTTCCATCAGCTATTAGAAACTTTCTCAGTGAGAACAGGTGAAGCTCAGCTTTTTCTTCAACTTTGGCCAATGAAATAGTAAATAGTATCTATCTGTAGTATTTCCAGCATTATTTGTTCACCAGGGATATTGATATGTTCTCTGCAGATATCACTTTGATGAGACTAGGTCAGGGATGATCATGATACGGCCCAAGTTTAGGCGACAGTAGACTACCTTCCCGTGATGCTACTGGCAGGAATTCAGATCTATTGCTATCCATTGTTCTTGCACATGATGTAAAATCACAACTTATCCCCATGTCATGCTTAATTCCATTGTGTCTAGATTTTTTGATAAAAGTTGCTCTGATACTATGTCATTGTTCGTTATCTCCCACCAAAGGATATGTTTGTAATTGTTGCTGCCCATGTAACTGTTGTGTTATGCATGCTAGACATTTTCCCGGCTCACTTTTGAAGTCGTCCGAGGATTGTTTTGAGCATTTAACAACATTTAGTATGTTTGTGCTAGTATGTCATTTAGCCGTAGGAAGTGGTAAAAGGGAAAAATTAAGACAACCCCCAAATTTACTTTTAACCTATGTACCAAAAGAAGTCTGTTACACTTGCTCATATTTTGTGTATTGTTATTTTTTATTTTATTTAATCCTTACATGGCCAACACAGCCAGTTCTTGGAAGGTCTTTCACTGCCTCTTCCTTCCTGAGAGGTTGGTATACATCCCACCCGCACCATTAGCATCACGAGGACCTCAGCCTGACTAACGTATTAAGAAACTGGCATTTGTCTTATTTGGTTTGATCACAGCTAAAATTTGTGTTTATTATCATGTTTATGCGATATGCATCTGGAAAATGGATTGAAGCTAGAGCAAGGATGATGCCCACAGAACACAGGGAACACATGGTAAATGACTTTTGGTGAAGTATTTTGAGCAAACCTCGGTCTTGGGATTATATGCCTGATGTCTTATGATTTTTCTCATAATTTTGAATGTAGTGCCTTCATAGCTTCTATTATGCATGTTTGTACTGGACTCAGTTATTAATTATTATGCATGTTTGTACTGGAGGTTATTCAACATTACTCCATCAACACACTACACCATCATGCATTTTATTTTCCACGTATTTTTCAGCAATAGTTCCCTTCATATTCAATACTGCTACCGAGCATGTTCAGTGACATAGATAATATACAAGTTGCAATTTTTTTTTTCAACCAACAAGGTACAATGTATCAGGCAGCCAGACTTCATTGCTAAGGTTTCCCTGTTTTCTACTAAAAAAAAGTGAAATTAAGAAAGCATAATACTGCTGTATTTCTTAAAAAAATAAATAAATAAATCCCTTGCTTCTTTGTAACCTCTGTTTTCATTGCTCGATTGTGGTCCTTAATAATGAAATTTTGACCTCATAGTCTAATAAAATGCATGAACAAAGCATTAGATGGCACTGCATATTTTGACATACCGTCAGTGCTATGACATCACAACTCATAAGCTTTGATAAGAATTTGCAAAAATAAAATAGTCAGAAAATGCTAGGAAGGGAGAAAAAGTTAACAGTAATAAAACATTGTTCATCTAACGTCTGTGCAATGAATTGTCTTTCTTCTGGCTGTTAATTACCAGAAGAAATGGATTCAAAGGGAGAAGGATCGTCGTCGAGCTCCAAAGGGGTTGATGAAGAAGTGGAGAGAAGATTTCAAAATTTCTCTTTGTCGAAAGTGGAGGTCAAGGTGATTGAAATGGGCTCGGAGGATATTCAAGCAAGTGAGGAAGAATGTTGACGAAGTTTGTCTTTGGAGACCGCAAAGCAAGCCTAATTGGAGTGAAAAAGAACAATGAGTCAGACATGGCGGATTCAGAAGTTGATGGAAATTAGAGAGTTATAGTTTAAATTTTTCCAATTCATTTTCGATATAAGAGAGGACATGAAGAAAGTGGAGTCAGACATTAATTGGATCTTCGAAAATCAATACTTGATCCTCTTGGAGTGGGAAGAAGGCATGACGGAAAACCATCCAAGGTTTGATTATTTGAATATGTTGGTGCAGGTTTATAATGTCCCTCTCAATTGGTAAAGTGCGGATGTGGAGATGAAGATAGGCAGAGCATGTAAACAAACAATGAATTTTACTATCTTGAAGCGAAGATTTTTAAGGCTGTTAGGGACACTGGATGAGAGGGAAGTTGTTCCTAGGTGTGTAAGTGTAAAGCTAGGAAATCACCTGATGGTAGTAAGCTTTAAATATGAAAATCTTGTCAATCTTTGTTATTATTGCGGGAAGATAGGGCATTGGATAGGGCGTGCAACAAGAGATTGGAGGACATAGCTTTGAACAGGCTGCAAGAAGGTCAGTATGGGGAGTGGCTCAAGGCTGGAGAAAGCCAGCTAGTTCAGGACTTGTATCAAGGAAACCATTTAGGATCTTTTGACTTCCAGTCAGTCTCCTAGTAATTAAACTCAACTTCTTCTGGAACAACCACTATTTGTAAAAATTCACCAGGGCACCAATGAGACCTCCAAAGATGCTAGGATAGTGTTAGCTATAAATATGGAGTTCCAAGTTGACAATCAGGAGTTAAAGCCTGTTATTCACAACTCTAATCAGGAGAGCTTCAGGGAGGAATCCAAAGAGGGGACACAAATGGATTTGGAATTAGATGAGGCAGCTGGCAAAATAAAGGAGTTGATTGAATCCAAAAGAGTTGGGAACAACATTTTGATCCCGTTTCAGAAAGCAAAAACTTGAAAAAGGTCAAGTGTGAAAGAAGGGAGGTTGCAGAGGAAAATTGATATTTATAGGGCTATTATTGAAGGGAAAAACTTGAAAAGGGATAGATTAATTATTGAGGAACAAACTCAGAAGGGGTATCTAAGGGGATGTGTCAAAAAGGAGACAAGAAGCAGAAAAATGTCCACATGAAGTGGGGGTAGCCAGCCTTGAGTGCTTCAAGATGAACCATAAACGTTGTGCACAAATTGATCTATTAATAAAAGAACTCAAATGGATAAAGTTGTATTGTGCACAAACACCTTGTGATTTTTACATTCAATGTAAAGTTGGTCGGTTGATACTTTACACTCACTCGTCATATTTGCCCTTTACCCGGCCTGCACCTCTGGAGGGAGTGTATGAAAGAGGTGGTCAACATTCGTTAACGTGTGATAAGCTCCCTCCATGGCGGTAGTCTGAAAATTAAATTCAAAGTCAAATAGAATAAAACACAAACCAAAAAAAAAATAAAAAAAAAAAATAATAATAATAATAGAATAAAAAACAGAAATATATATTACTTACGTCGCACTTCCCCTGCTCGGCAAGTGGGCGAAACCCTCTGTCCGGTTGGGCCACCGCGTACTTAGCAGGGTCACCGAGTAGTCTGACAGTGATACTGTGAAACCAATCAAGGTAACCCGCCTCAGGGTCAATGAATGACTCCACAGGGAATGTTGGGATGACATTTTCGTCTCTATGTTCGACCCAAGCATTCCCAAGCTTTCCGTGAAAGGTCACCCAGTCAAAAACTGCCCCCGGTCATTCCCTGGCCTCGATGGTGTCTCTGATATTCGGTCTCAGTCGGAATGATAGGAGGTTCGGGGGTGGACTGCCGACACCCGAACTGAAGGAGGACTCTATCAGGCATGTGGATTTCACGGACGTTCCAGTTGAAGATCCACCCCCTATACATCTAGAGGTGTGAACCTTCTGTACACTGCGCCGGGAGAGCATTCCCTTGCAGGTGCTACTGATAGGGTAGCCATTCGAACTGAAAAATAAAAAATAAAAAAAAATTAATTAGGAATTAAGTTATAAAAAAATTAAAACAAACAACAAATAAAAATAATAATAATAATCTTACATCCGTCTCTGTGAGCCCTGTCAGTTGATCTCGGGTGGTGGCTGTTCCCTTGCCCAGGTGTGTTGTACTCCTCCTTCCCACCCACCTTAAAAATCACAGTAAAAAAAAAAAAATTGTAATCACAAAATTTAATAGTGGAAATAAAGTAAATATTAAATATAAATAAATTTTATTACCTTCCACCTAAGGGACAACCAGGGACTCTCTCAAAGTTTGTATCCCTCATTCTTGGGCGAATACGAGGGATACGTTCATATGCCCAAACCTACACATATCGACATATTCATTTGTTATTAAATATTAGTCTAAATTAGAAAAAAAAAAAGAATTTTGAAATAACAAGCAAATAAATTTAACTGAATCAGTTGGACACAGTTCTTGATCCAGTTTTCCCCGGACTTGACGCTCATGCAGAACGCTCTATACACTCCGGCCAGGACCGCCGAACCCCAGCTATACGTCTTGATCGTATCGATGTCGTGCAAAAGCTGCAACCAGTAGAGGTTCACTCCATTGCCCCTCTGGTCGGGGAAGAAGAAGCAACCGATGCACCAGAGTATAAGGGCCTTCGCCCTCGACTCGTAGGTGAAGCAATTCTCTCCATCGGCTAGTTGTCGGTTGCACTCCTCTTCTAACGCATAGGCCTTCAAATACTGGCCTGTAATGGCCCAAGTCCTGGGGTCTTGAACCGGTTCCTCGGCATTTTGAGAGTGGTTTATATATATTAAATTAGTGAATGGAGTAAACATAAATAAATAAAAAAAAATATATATAAGAAAAAATTTACCTGAACATAGAGCTCGAACCCTAGCTCATCATTACAAATTTCTTGACATTTAAAGGGCGTGTTATCTTGAGTCTCTCCCCAACAAGGCTCTCCATCGTTCGGGAGACCAAAAAGGACTTGTACGTCCTGCAGCATGATGGTAGCCTCCCCGAAGTCAAAGTGGAAGGTATGCGTCTCTGGTCGCCACCTTTTCACTAGACACGTGACGAGGCTGTTGTCGATCATGACTCTGCCCATTCGAAACAGCGGGCCAAACCCCGTCCTCTCGATGACATCCCAAACTCTGGGATGTTGGTGACCCAACGCCTTCCAGAACTGAGTGTCAAAACGGCGGGGTTTAATGACGCCGTCACGACATCCGCCTATATCTTCGAACAAATCACTCAACCGGTGGCAGTACTGAAGATATAGAACAGAAGGATCTCTCGGACCGGGATGTACATTGAAGCGCTGCGGTTGTGAGGACGACGAAGATGCCATTGTCTGCCAAAAAAGAAAAACAATCATTATAATATACTACATACTACAAAAAAAATAATAATAATAATTAATCAAATTACAATAATACAATTATATTCACACAAAAAAAAATCACAAAAACACAAATAAATGAAAAAAACAATAAATTCACAAATTTAAAAATCATATACACAATAATTCGAAAATAATCTTTAATCGACAATTCGACTCCAACAATTCAACTTCCGACAAAATAATCCCTAAACATATTATATAAATTCACAACTAAATTCACCTCATCACAATCATCACAAATTCACAATATGTCAAAAATATGTACAACAATCCCTTTGAGGCATTTTATCGAACACGTTCAAATCATATATTTCCAAACAAACTACAAAACCCTAATCAATTTCCAAATAACCAATCAATTTATCACCAAACATATATAATCAAAGAATCCATCAACATATTTCAATCCATAACTCAATCCAATTAAAAACCCTAAATTTAGCCCTAATTCGAAATTATTGAAACAATTGAAAAAATGAAAGAGTAATAGAAGAAACGTACCTAATAGACGGGAAAAAAAAAAAAGACAACGAGGATCCCAGATTCAGGACTCGAACCCGGGTTCAAGTGAGTCCGTTATCTCTGGGGGCACCTCGTTACCATTAGGCCGCGCTAGGCTACCGCTAATATTTTCGCACAACTTTTGTTCTTATCCTTCAACATCAAGATTTTTTATAGTATATAGTATTATTAATATATTGTATATACATATATATTATAATTTGGCATATAGTATATATTATATTATATATTATAACATATAAACATATAAACATATAAACTATAAACTATATAAATTATATTATATAGTATATAGTATATATTATATAGTATATATATATATATATATACATATATATATATATAACACATAAACATATAAACATATAAAGTATAAAGTATAACATATAAACTATAAAGTATAACATATAACACATAAACATATAAACTATATAAATTATAAACTATAACATATAAGCATATAAAAAATATTTATTTGAAAAACGGATAAG